GTGGCCATTTAATTATAATTTTTGAGTTTTCCATTTTTGGAGTATGTTCTAGCCTTTTAAAAAAGATCTCAGCTTTTTGTTTTGTCTCTAAAAAGCCTACAAGTTCTAGACACTTAGTGATAGTTGTCTAGTGGATTAAAGACACACATTGAGCACCCATTTAATTATATGTGTGCACATGTGTGTATGAGTGTGCAGGTGGTGGTGGTGGCGGCAGTGGTGATGGTGAATGTGGTGAGAGATTCATGTTTTCTTGAAGCATTTATTTGAATTGTATTCAATGGCTCTTTGAACAAAAACTCCCTGCATTAGATGTCTCTTATATGCAATCATCATTTCCCCCATGAGAGACTTCAGTTTTTAGTGTCATTACCTTAATATATTTCCATTTCTACACAACCTTTCATTATTCACTTAACAAATACTTATTGAGTACCCACTATATACAGAGTACTGTTTTAGGTACTGGGGATACTGTAGACTTGGAGGAAGAAGCGTCTCTCCTTTTCTTTAAGGCTGAGTTTTCCAATTCCACCTTGGATCCTTGTCCTATCCCAATTACCAAGGGCTTTTGCTTGCAACCTCTCTGCCTCTCTCTTCTAGCATCTTTTTTTTTCTTTTTAAATGTTTTTTTTTTTATTTTGAATATGTGGGGTACAAATCAGGGTTAGTTATACAAATGTTCATTATGCAGGTACCCTTGTTGATGAGGTGTGCCCCCATCCCTTGGCAGTTTCCCACTGCTACCAATCCAGCCAGCATGTTTTTCTTGTAGGTACACATTGGAGAAGTACACAGCATGTGTTATGTTGTGGGTGCACATTGGAGGGTGAATAGCATGTGTGTTATGGGTGCATGTTGGAGGGGTACACAGCATGTATGTGTTGTGGGTGCACCTGGGCGGTAACACATATTATGTATGAGTTGTGGGTGCATGTTGGAGGGGTGCACAGCATGTGTGTGTTGTGGGTGCAAGTCAGAGGGGCACATAGCATGTGTGTGCTTTGAGTGGATGTTGTAGGGTCACGTGGCATGTGTGTCTTGTGGGTACATCTGGGGAGAGGTGAAGAGCATGTGTGTGTTGTGAGTAAACTTTGGAGGAATGCACAGTATGTGTTTGTAAACACCCCCTCTTTGCTGGCTCCTTCCCCCTTTCCTTTAAAGTGGCCCAGGCTTCAAGAAATTCTGTTTGACCCTTCTGATGTAATTAAAATTGTATTTCGCTCCTTTTTCTTTCCAAATCTCTTCAGTCTGTGGTCCCTCATCTCCATTTCCTCACAATACAGCCCTTCCTCAATTCCCTGTAATCCTGATTCTATCCTCACCACTTATTGAAACCATGCATGTAGAGGTCTCCAGTCCACTTAAAACATCCAAAAAAAAAAGTCTCTTGACCTCCATTTTCCTTGTTCTATTTACAGCATTTGACACTGCTAACCCTTCCCTACACATTCTTTATGTTTCATTTTCATTGACTGCAAAGCAGTCAGTGATTTTCAAGGCAAGAAAGAACATGGAATAACATAACCAATATACGTACCTACCACCCAGTTGTATCAAATCTTACATCAACTTTCAGATTGTGTTTCTTTTTTAAAAGTGTTATTTCATTTTATTTTAGATTCAGGAAGTACAAGTTCATGTTTGTTACATGGACATATTGTGTAGTGGTGGAGATTGGGTCTCAGGTGGCCCATTCCCCAGATAGTGAACATTTTACCTAATAGGTAATTTCTGAACCCCAACCCCCTGTATGCCTCCTCACTTTTTAGTGTCCCCAGTGTCTATTCTTTTCATCTTTGTGACCATTTAGCCCCCGCATATGAGTGAGAACATGTGGTGTTTGATTTTCTGTTTCTGAGTTAGTTCACTTAGGATGATGTTCTCCAGCTCCATCCACGTTGCTGTTTTTTGGTTTTTTTTTTTGATAGCTGTGTAGTATTCCATAGTATTTGTATACCATATTTTCTTTATCTAGTCAATCAGTGGACACTTAGGTTGGTTCCATGATTTTGCTATAGTGAAGAGTGCTGCAATGAGCATGTGAGCACAGGTATCAAATTGTTTTCAAGAAATAAATATTACAGTTACAGTTGATATTCCCTATATGCCCTTCCCCAGTCTCAATCCTTTCCCCAACTTACGGTTGGTGATCATACTTTTTCATGTTTTATGTGCTATTAAAGTACTACATATCTATGTAGCCATAAGCAACAAATGTTATTTTCAGACTTTATATAAACAGCATATTGTACATGCCCTGCAATTTACTTTGTGCTCAATATTATATTTTTAAGATTTAATGCTGTTACTACATATAATTCAAATTCATTCATCATGAATATACTGATTGATTTATCAATTCACCTGCCGGACATTCAATTTGCTTCCATCGTTTTGAGATTACAAATAATGCTGCAATGAGCATTATTTTATATGTCTTTTTGTGTATATAAAAAGTTAGAAACTTACCAGATCTATACCTAGAAATAGAATATCTGGGTTGACATTCTATTAGACATTGTCAAATCACTCTTCTTAGCAGTTTTACCAACTTACTTCTAGTACTGGATCAGAATTCGATCTGTTTTACATCCTCAGCAACACTTGACGTTGTCTGACTTCTTAAATTTTTGTCAAACTGATGGTTGTGAAATGGTATCTCATTGTTTTATTTTCCAATTTCCCTGTATCATAATAAAGTTAGACATCCATTCATGTTTTTATTGGCCATTTGGGTTTCTTTGACAATGAATTACTTATTCAGATATTTTGTCAATTTTTCCACTAGGTTTCTTTCTTCCTTATTTATTGATTGATTGATTTGGGTCAGAGTCTCACTCTGTCACTCAGGCTGGAGTGCAATGGCATGCTCACGGCCACTGCAGCCTCAACCTGCTGGGCCCAGGCAATCCTTCTGCCTCAGCCTTCCAAGTAGCTGGAACTACAGGTACACGTTACCACACCCAGCTTATTATTATTATTAGTAGTAGTAGTAGTATTTGTATTTATTTATTGTAGAGATGAGGGCTCACCAAGTTGCCCAGGCTGATCTCGAACTCCTGAGCTCAGGCAATCCTCTCCCCTCAGCCTCCCAAAGTGCTGAGATTATAGGCTTGAGCCACCGTGCCTGGCCTTTCTTACTTATTTATAGGAATTCTTATATATCCTGGATACTAATCAATATTTTTTTCTGGAATCTACTTTGTTCTACAAATGGTTCTAGGCACTGAGAATGCAACCATGGACAAAACAGATAAAAACCCTTGCACTTGTAGAACTTACATTCTAGTGGGTGAAGGTAAATGATAAAGAAGATTGATAAGAAAAATGGAATAGCGGATAGTGATAAATCCTGTAGCGAAAAATCAACAGGGAAGAGGGTAGGGAAAATGTATGAATGAGGGTGGAAAGGGAATTGCGGAATTACAACTAAAAAAAAAAGTAGTCTAGGAAGGCCTCACTGAGAAAGTGACATTTGAGCAGAGACCTGCAGGAGGTGAGAATGCAGGCAGAGTGAATAGCAAGTGCAAAGGCCCTGAGACAAGTGTGTGCCTGGCAAGTCCTAGGAACAACAAGCGGCCAGTGTGACTAAGCAGAGTGAGTTGGAGAGAGTGGTGAGAGAGGAAGTCAGAAAGGTGATGACAGCCAGAAGTACAGAACTTCATAAGTTATCCTATGTTAATTATAAGCATTGAAAATATCTTTTCTAAGTCTGTGGTTTGTGTTTTAACTTATTTGTATTGTCTTGAAGTACATACATTTTGAAATTTAAAGGAGATAAATATGTCATTCTCATTTCTTATTCTAAGCTCATAAAGATATTCTGCTTTCTTCTGAAAGTTGTAACATTTTGCTTCTCATATTTAGATCTTTAATCCACCTGAAATTAATTTCCCCTCTATGGCTTGAGGTATGGGTCTAATTTGAACTTTTCCATATGGATAATCAATAACTCCAGTACCATTTAATGGGTCATCCACTCTTTCCCCACCAATTTTAAATATCACATTTGCTGAATATCAACTTTCCATATATGTGTGGGTCTGTTTGGAGGCTCCATATTCTGTTCCATTGGTTGTCTTTCTCCATATTATATGCTCACTTACTATAGATTTAAAGTCAGTCTTGATATCTAGTTCATTACAGATTCTGGAGAAAATGAATAACATAACTGAAAAATTACTTTGGGAAAAAATATTTTTATGGTTGTCAATAGAGTAAAAAGGTCAAAGGAGAGAGTAAAGCCAACGGGGTTTATTTGGAGAAAGTGCAATAGCCCAGATAGGATATCACAAGGGCTTACAATAAAGTTGTGGCAGTGTGAATGAAGGGAAAACAAGGAATCCAAAAGTAATTCCAAAGAAAATATTAACAAGGTTTGTTGACTGATTAGATACAGAGATTAGGAAAGAGGAAGAAAGCATATGGCTTTGAAATGTCAAGTCTGGGTGGCTGTGTGAAATGATGATAGGTTAGTTTTGTTGCACAATGTGTTTTAACAATGGTATCTATTAGGTAAGAGGGTTAGGCCCGGGATATATATTTGGACATTGCCTGCTTAGAGGGACCGCAAAGGAGAAGCAAAGATCTGAGCTTTGGAGCTTGTCCCGATTTTTAGGGCATGGAAGACAGAAGAGGAAGAGAACATCTGAGAGGTAGAATAACCAACAACGGGTATCATACTCTTAAGAAAGGTGTTTTTGACTGGATGATATGGGTCCTATTGGCTCAACACGTTTGAGTTCTCTCATAGGTATCACTATGCTTTGTTTCTGTGGCAATCTTCAAAGTCCTAAGAACAAGTCACGAGGACATTTAAAACCTCTTTCTTGCTGGACGTGGTGGTAAAGACGCCCCCAGTCCGTCGGGTGTCCCGCTGCAGTTCCGCAGGCTGGCCGCAGGGGGCGGAATCTGCGGCGGCCTGGAAAACTGGCGGGGACGCGAGGCGCCGCTCTCTCTCGGGTCAGGTTCTTAGCTCCCAGCTCCGGGTTCCCCGCTCCCGGCTCCCGGCTCCCGGCTCCCGGCGCGGAGCTGCTCCTGAAACGACGCGCTGCCGAGGCCGGTGGGTGTGAGGACGCGGGAGGCAGTGTCGTCGGATCCGCCCACAGTCCGTAGCCCCGCTGAGTCCGGAGGCCGCCCGGATGGAGCCGCCGCTCCCGGTCGGAGCCCAGCCCCTTACAGTATCCGCTTGAGAGAAGGGGGAGGGGAGGCCGCGCAGGGCTGGGGTGGGAGTCGGGGGGACTGCGGGACCCGGCGGGGCGGGAGGAGAGTGACGCCCAGAGGCCGAGCCGGACGGAGGAGGGGGCGGGCGCGGGAGGCAACGCCTGGGGGGCGGGGAAGGGCGGCCGGGGGGCAGGAGACCCCCTTCGCCCCGCAACGCGCCACCCCTCCCGGCCAGGCTTTAAAGGAGACCCTTGACTAGTGCCTGCATACTGTCGAGGGTATGGAGATGAAGGGTCCGCTCCGGGAGCCCTGCGCCCTGACCCTAGCCCAGAGGAACGGGCAATATGAGTAAGTACCCGCCTGATTCCCACAGAGGAGGAAAACCTGCCATTACCTCCCAACCCCAAACCGCGACGAGTCACCCACCCTCCTCTCACTGAGCCACGCGGGCAACAGGTTCAAGCCCAGGTGTGTGCTGTTTAACCTAGGAGCTTTGTCCCTAAATTCCAAGCCTCTGGATTGCGACTGGCAGTGTGGCTCAGTGGAAGGACTCAGTGGGCAGGGAAGCAGGAAGCCTGGGTTCTTAGTTCCTGCGTGCGGCTGACATGTGTTGTGTAATCTTGAGCAAGTCAATAAAGCTTTCTGGGTCTTAGCTCATCAGTTGAATAAAAACATTAACTACCTTACTCTATATAGCCTTATGGAGTTATAACTGGGGGAATAATACATGCGAAAGTGGTTTACAAAAAGGAAAACTGCTGTGGAAACGTTGTTAACGTTACAGACTTGTCTTTTCTTAACCCCATTCAACTGGTTCCTCCAGTCTCCCCAGCTCCTTATCCTACTTGCTCTGAAGGCATAGTCATTAATTCAGTAATGGTTTAGTGTAGGCCAGTAACTACCTTACATATTGACTTGACTGTTGGAGAGAAAAGGTTATGAAATTGCAGAAATATAAACGACGTTTGACATTTTACTGGTGCCTGTCACTTTCCACTCTGCCTTGGACATAGGAGCTCAGTAAATACTGTTGACTGAATGAGCAAAAGATTATTTTGATAAACTATCACCATAGCTGCTAACTGTACACCATTGCCACTAATGTTCATCTTAAAAGTATCCATAATGACCATTACATATCATAGGCTCCATCCCTGTGTGCCCAAGTCACCTCCCTTGGTTGTTCACTGGTTTCTTGATATCAGATTCCTTCCCAGTTTAAAAATTGTTCACTTAAATCCTGCCATCTCCCAACATGGGATTCTGCCTAAAGCGAATTTCCACAGTTCCCACTTTTAGATCCTCTCTGACTATGTTATCTAATTTACACAGAAGAAATTTCCACTGGCCTAGCCTGCTCTTCTGAGACTATTGGTGCCACTCTAACTGGACGTCAGCTGGTTCTATGAAGTAGCTCTTCCCTAGGTCCTGCTTAGTCTGCATTGTTGATATGGGAAGTTCATGCTATTTTTCTCAGATTTCATCAAATCCTGGAAGACCAGTTTAATCAAACCAAATTCAACAGAAAAGTGAGTTGATAAGCGTAACACCACTAACACTTCCAAAGGCTAGGGTGGGGTAGAGAGATGTCAAACCAGTAAATTTGTTGTACCTTGGTTTCCTCTTCTGCAAACAGAAAATTATGATGATTGAGTAGAATAGCTACATTGGTGAGATGACCACAATCCAGGAGCTGGTCCTACAGTTTAGTAGATTTGGAAGCATATTGAGCTAATAAGAGAGTGAGTGGTCAGCCTCGAGATTAAGTGCCTTATCTTATCTGGGCTCTTGTGCTAGCAAAACTTTAAATATGGCAGTGGTAGCTCTCCTGACTCTTTGTAACCTTCCCACAGGGAAATCAAATTCTTGTGTTCCAATTATGTATAAGTTATGGGGATATGGCAACAACTAACACTTGTTATGTTTCAGTGCTCATTCTGAGCACTTTCATTAATTAGTTCATTTAGCTGGCATGTGAGGTTTACTATGAAGTAGTAATATTATCATCATTGTCCTCCTTTAATAGGCACAGAAATTGAGTCACAGAAAGGTTAAATCACGTCTTCACAGTTAGGGAGCAGCATGCCTGAGGTCTGAACCTATGCAACATATCTCAGAATTATACTGAAAAGTTTCTTTTGAAATCATTTACTGGAGCCACCTGATATGATAATATCATTTGTAAGACTCAAATTCTTGTCTCTCAGATGTCTTCCCTGACTTGGGTGTCCAGAACTTTTTACTTTTGGCTTTTTTATCCTAGAACTTGAATTTTAATCTTTAGTCTTAATCTTTAGGTCTGTGGTTCCTATTGTTAACCATAGGAGAAATTTACTCGAAAGACCAGAATTACAATTAAAAATAAGGTATTTTGGAAATGGAGTCTAACACTAAGATGCATTTTTTTCAAGGATAATAGATTATGACTAAAGCTGTTGTTTGATCTTTAGCCTTCTGTGAACAAATAAAAGTATTTTCTTGAGATAATGCCAAGTTGACATTCATGATTTGTCACTCTTTTCTGTTTAACAACTACCAAATTCTTATATCCATTGTTTTGCAATATACCTGTCATTTTTAAAATCTTTTTATTCTGAAATGAAAATTAGGTTTAGGTAGAATCTTTATGCTTATTCTTAGTCCTACTCTTTTGCTATAATTTATTTAGTGGCTAACACACAGTAGATATTCAGTAAGCGTTTGTGGGATTCTCTTAAATTCTTAGTTTGTTTTTATTTTGTGATGGTTTTTTTTTAAACAATACAGTTCAGTTGAAGATTTACTGCTATGTTCAATGCCATTTCTATTCTACATATTTTGAGATCATAGTGGTTTGTGTTCATTTTCCCCAAAATAAGCTCTTCCTCCTTGACCTTTGCTGTCTTAGCCTTTTTTCTAGCTTCTGGTTACCATCTGGATTCATAGAACTCTTCGCTCAACTCATGAACCTTCCAGATTGAAAGGGGCCTGCCCTGTGTCCCTATAATCACCTTAGAATATAAACCTCTGTAAAGTAGGCAGGCAAGATCAGAGCAGGAAAACAGCATTCATACTTATTTTCCTTAGTTCTTCCTAAGCAATTATTACCCCAGGTTATTCCCTTCAAAGTTGACACATTTTTAAAAATCTAAAAAGTGAAAACAAGCACCCCTAAAGGACAACAGAATAGAAATCAAACCTTTCAAAGCTGACATTTTTTAATGTCAAAAGTTGAACAGTTACATTTAGAAATTCACCTCTGCTTATGGCTTAATTAAGCTAGTTAATTTATTCAACCAGTATTTATTGAGTATCTGTTAGGCTGCAGACAAAGCTGAATATGACTGGGTCCTTGTTTTCAAGGAGCTCAAATAAGTGAGAGGAAATAGATATAACTATAATGGACTGCATAAGTGTTATATTTGAGAGGCACAGGGGATAAGGCTCCTGGTTCTGCTTGTAGGTATTGAGGGAAGCTTCATGGAGGAGCTAATATTTGAGATGGGTCTCAGGAAGAAAAGAGGAGTGCTCCTGGCAAAAAGAAAAAGAGAACACCTGAGGAGTACTTGACTTTGGGAAAGGTAGTTGGTGTTCAGAATGTCTGTTTTCTGGTGTGTTATACTTAGATTCTGGGCCACTAAGGATAAGTAATAAATGAAAATTGATATTTCAGTAGTATATATGGATTTAGAAGTCTTGCATTTCATACTGAGGAGCCAAATTCACTCATGTTTATATAGAAATACTAGCATGAAGTTGGAAACCAGAGGAAAGATACAAGGAATGTGAAGGCCATCCATTTGTGATATCTGTCACTGTATTGGTTACTGGCATTTTGACCTATCCAACTGGCTGGGCACCCCCTCTTTCTCCTCCATGAATCTGCATGCTTGGTTGAAGAGAGAGAGCTGTTATTTGGTAAACACCATGGGAATGTAATTAGGATGTAATTAGAAATTTATGAATTTTCTTTTTTTTTGAGTTGGAGTCCCACTCTTGTTGCCCATGCTGGAGTGCAGTGGCATACACACGGCCACCGCAGCCTCGACTTGCTGGGCTTAGGCAATCCTTCTGCCTCAGCCTTCCAAGTAGCTGGAACTACAGATGCTACCACGCCACATGATTTATTGTAGCGAAGAGGTCTCACCAAGTTGCCCAGACTGGTCTCAAACCCTCCAGGCTCAGGCAATCTTCTCTCCTTGGCCTCCCAAAGTGCTGGGATTACAGGCTGAGCCACCGCATGAATTTTCTAATTTATTGATTCAGGATACATGAGTGACTGCTATGTGCCAGGCTCTGTGCCAGGTACTAGAAATACTGTGGTATAAAGACACTCATAGTCCCTGCCCTTATGGAGTTCACATCTAGCTGTTAGTGCTTCATTCTGGTATGCATACTCTGAAGCTTATAAACTGTTTTTAGGACATATGGTATATGGAACAGTGTGGGTATTCAGATATTGATCACCACTAGCATCTTTTTAGACCTAGAGCAATATCTAGCTGTCATGATTCTCAGATCCAGGGAGCTAGATGCAGCAAGTCTAATAAATAGACTAGACTTGTGTAACAACAGCACAGTATTTTTTTGCTAAACATTTGGGTTTTTCAGTAGCTATTCGTGATGCATTCTTCTGTTTCCTAGGTTAATAATCCAGTTGCACGAGAAAGAACAGCATGTTCAAGATATCATTCCTATAAATAGCCACTTCAGATGTGTTCAAGGTACTAGCTTTCATTGCTCAGCTAGTTTTATAATGTTTTTCTTTGGTCATTACTGCATTATGTAATACCATACATATTTAAATTTGTCACTGCATGTAAAATGAAATGTATTACTCCTTGCATAAAAGTACAGCATTGAGAAGATGATAAATGCTTTATCTGAATGTTGAAGGGTTCTATTGAAATACATATGTCTCACCTGTTTCTCTGGCTGAAGTTAGAGATGCATGTAGACTGTAACCTGTATAGGCAATCTCTTATTCTGACCGACCTATATGTGGGTTTAAATAACATCCTTGGGTTTAACTCACAGTGCTCATTGTAAAGTATTAAGGTTGCTTGGATTCACACACATTCAGCACTCTCTCCCCACACTATTTGTAATTAAGATATTTGGCAATACACCTTACCAGATTGTGATATCTTACACGCAATTGTGCTTATTCTCAAACCTTGACATTGGTGAATCATAAGAAAATTGACTCTGGGGTGGAAATATTTGGCTTCCTGCCCTTAAATTTGGGGACCGAGCACAGAAAATCTGTTGTTTCATCTGCTACAATGAAACTTAAAAATTGGGAGGTTTGTGTAGGAGGTGTTGCTTCTGTCATCTCATATTGCTCTAAAAAGGAAATTGATACTAGAGAACAAATGCATTATGTTTCCAGCAGTTCCAGTGATTTCATCAGGCAGAAGCATTCTGTTTCAGTTGTAGCTTCTTGGAGAATTTGAATCCTATCTTGCATGAATTCTTTCTTAAACTACATGAACTTTTTGATCACAAAGTAATATATATATACATAACGTAAAAAGTTTGGAAAGAACAGAAAAGCCTAAGAAAGGTCACCTAAATTTCCATCCTTCAGAGATAAATACCTAACGCTTTCCTTTTTTCTAATATAACTTTCAGGGTGGGTGGTACTCATCCTATACAATTTTTTGTCTGTTCCACATGCTATCATATTATGAGCACTTTTCCATGCCAATAATAGCTTTATGCTATTCCATTTTATGAATGGTCCATAATGTAATTATTCCTGTGTTTGACATTTGTATTATTTTTTTTACTAGTATAAATAGTAATGTGATGAACATCTCTGCACATAAATCTTCCTGCACATCTCTTACTTCCTCAGGATTTATTCCTGTAAGTGAAAATACTAAGTCAGTATGACTTTAAGACAGTATGTATTAAGAATTTAAAATACCTTCAGGCCGGACTCGGTGGCTCAGCCTGTAATCCCAGCGCTTTGGGAGGCCGAGGTGAGTGGATTGCCTGAGCCTGTGGGTATGAGACCCACCCGGGCAACTTGGCGAGACCTCATCTCTACAATAAATAAAAAATTAGCCGGGCATGGTAGCACATGCCTGTAGTTCCGACTACTTGGAAGGCTGAGGTGGAAGGATCGCTAGAGCCCAGCAGGTCAAGGCTGCAGTGGCTGGGAGCATGCCGCTGCACTCCAGTGTGGACGACGGAGTGAGACTCCAACTCAAAAAAAAAAAAACCTTCAATAAATAACGTCCACTGTATAGAAGAATGAAGTAATAGCTGTTTAGCCTGCCCCATGTGAGAGAGAAGACATATTAAACAAAGCAGCTGCATACCATTGTAAGTTCACTTTTCAAGGTATAGCCCCTTACAGAAAAGTATCTTACTAGTTTTGTGCTATTTTATACTGCTTCTAAGGGTCTCTTTCACTGGGTTTCTCTTAGTATTGTTTTTAACAACAAATAGGCAGCTGATTGTTACGTTGTAGTGCTGCTTCTTGGGATCTGGGGAAATAGGTGCTTACATAAACCATAGTTCCTCATGATGAAAGGAAGAGTTGAGTCCTGTTCACCTCCTTTCTATTCCCTGTACCATGTGGCCATTTTGAAAACTGTGTGTAAATGCTCAGGTTTTTACAGAGCTAAAAGTTACTGAAGAAAAGTGGTAAACATATCATAACTGTATCCTGATTCCCTATTTTCCTTTGCTTAATCATGCTAGTAGTAGTATTGAGATTACTTTTTTTTTTTTTTTTTTGAGTTGGAGTCTCACTCTGTCGCCCAGACTGGAGTGCAGTGGCCGCTGCCGGCCACCGCAGCCTCGACCTGCTGGGCTCCGGCAATCCTTCTGCCTCAGCCTTCCAAGTAGCTACAGGCGCGCGCTACCACGCCTGGCTAATTTTTGATTTATTGTAGAGATGAGGTCTCGCCAAGTTGCCCAGGCGGGTCTCGAACCCGCGGGTTCAGGCAATCCACTCACCTCAGCCTCCCAAAGGCGAGATTACTTTCTAATATTAGACAGCTTGGTTCCTTACCAGTAACTTCTGTTGTACCAGAATAATGGAGCCAAATATATAATTCAGTCCTTAGAGGGAGCTAGAAAAAGCCGAGACCACTGCATTTCACCAAAGTAGATCCAGCCTAATCCCAGTCAGTACCCAGAGTTCGATTTGCTAGGAGAGTAAGACAAGTGCTATTGAGAAGTCAGAGAGGAAGAGATAGGTTGAACCTAGACACTAGAGGCAAGGAAGGAACCCCATTTAGAGAAAGGATACCTCTGAATTTGTAAACTGCTTTGCACTGTTTTATACTTCATGCTGGGTGTAGTGGGCCTTGGGTCCCCAGGAGGTATTAATTGTAGCCTGAAGGTATACTTCAGGCTACCTCTAGGTATACCCTGCTCCTGTATGGGGTAGAGCAGAGGCAATGAGATCATTGGAAAATTTTCAGAGAATCGATAAGTTAAAGTAATTCATCTCTGGGTCTTCAGGGTTGCTTGTTTGGCTTTGTGTGAGAAGTATTTAAAAGACAGGTTATAGTAAATCAATATTTTATAAAAGGGGAATTAAACTTGCCTTCACTTGAATTGAATTAACATGTTGTTTTGTTCTCCACTATTAATTTGTCATTCCTTGATTTGCTCTGAGGAGTTCCATTTGGTTACTACTTCAGTTCCTTTCACTTTTAGTTGAATTGCTTGTAGTCTTTAGAACCTAGTACTGTTAAAATCCTTTTTTTTTTTTGAGTTGGAGTCTCACTCTGTCACCCAGACTGGAGTGCAGTGGCCGCTCCCAGCCACCGCAGCCTCGACCTGCTGGGCTCCGGCGATTCTTCCACCTCAACCTTCCAAGTAGCCGGAATTACAGGCATGTGCTACCACGCCCGGCTGATTTTTTGATTTATTGTAGAGATGAGGTCTCGCTGCCCAGGCGGGTCTCGAACCCGCGGGCTCAGGCAATTCACTCACCTCAGCCTCCCAAAGGCGAGGGATTACAGGCTGAGCCACCGAGCCCGGCTAAAATCCTTTTGTAAAAAGTAATAAAGAAAAGCAGACGATTTTTAAAAAATGTGTTCTAAGACCTAAGAGAGATGTAGGTATTTAGTTAGGCATAGACTTTTTCTGATTGTAATGAGTACTTTTCTCTTCACTGATCCTGTTCTCTTTTTTTTTCCTCCTCAGAAGCCGAAGAAACTCTTTTGATTGACATAGCTTCAAACAGTGAGTATCTTTCTGAATAGAGTTGATTTTTATTCAACAAATATTTACTTGAATACCCATTATATTTAAGACACCTTCTGGGGCACAATTTTTATTTTACCATCTTATCCTGTAATCTCCTATAGCAGCCATACAAATTAGCATTGTCTCCCATTTAGGATAAGCCTAAGAAAAAGGTGACTGGTAAGAAACTTTAAAAAATTAAAAATATGATCTGTTTTTCTAGTGCTGAATATCTTTGAGCCACCATTATTGTTGCCATTAGTTAAATCATTGCTATGGAACTGATAATTGTAGGAAGGCCTAGTAACATGTTTAGAGGACATAAGGAGCCGGGCTCGGTGGCTCAGCCTGTAATCCCGCGCTTTGGGAGGCTGAGGTGAGTGGATTGCCTGAGCCCGTGGGTTCGAGACCCACCTGGGCAACTTGGCGAGACCTCATCTCTACAATAAATCAAAAAATTAGCCGGGCATGGTAGCGCGCGCCTGTAGTTCCAGCTACTTGGAAGGCTGAGGCGGAAGGATCGCCAGAGCCCAGCAGGTTGAGGCTGCAGTGGCCGGGAATGACCACTGCACTCCAGTCTGTGTGACAAAGTGAGACTCCAACTCAAAAAAAAATAATAAAAAAAATAAAAATAAATAAAGGACATAAGGTTTATGGGTGGTTTTTTGTTGTTGTTGTTGTTTAACCACTGTTAACGTTTTAAGCTTTTCTCCCTCACCGTCTTTTAAATTTTTGTATGTTAAATCATAACGTTTTTCTTTATTTGTTATTTTGAAAAGCTGCAGAGTTCCATAAATTGCTTGTCCAGGCATTCCTTTTCTTTATTAAGATAATTTTGGTCGTTTATTTAAGCCTCATCCCCTCAAGGCATCTCTTTATCAGCGGGAACATGGTCTTCCTTTTTGCTGTTTCCATTCTCTCATTTTTATCTGAAGCAAATCATCATCGACTTTCTGTGCAAGCTGTTCTTTGTTTATCATCTAATTGTACTGTGTTATGGGAAGGAGAAAATGGGCACTTGACTGCTGCCGTGACTACTGTGTGGTTGCTATGGCAAAGAGTATCTGACCACATGAATCTAAATCAAATGGGTTGTCTTATCTCTTGGTTGAGTCCTTGGGTGAGTGGAACTTGGCACTTAGCTTGGGACTATGGGTTATACATAATTTTATTTAGATGCAATACCTGTCCTTGGCACCATTAATTTGTATTGAATGCTTTAGGTAGGCATTTTCTGATTTGGGTTTTATTTGGCTATGGATTTTGGAAGTCTTAAGGGCTGATACTGAAAGGCTAAGTAAACCCTGCTGCAGGTAGTCACAAGAGAAAATAACATCTATGTCTTGTTGTGCTTAGAAAGAAGAAGGCAAAAACAACACTAAAAAAGCAAAATTAGAACAAAGGCAGTTCTGCAGCAATTGACATTGCTGCTGAAATAAGATACTGAAATGTCCCGTCCTTGTTGTGGAAAGGTGTTTGATTCAGAACTGAAAGGTTAAACTGAACTGTATCTTTTCTAAATGCCCAATTTACAGCATTAGTTTTGTTGTAACTTCTCCTACTTAGAAATTAGTCATGTGTTGCTATTTCCAGAGTTTAAGTTACTGGATCAGTAGGGGAAAATAGTTCCATGACCACATGAATAAAATCCTTTGTTATTTCTGCCCATTTAGTAAAATTTGCATGTAAACCAGATTTTATCTTGATCCTTGGGCTTCATACATAAATCCTTAGAGCACACAGTATGCTGCCCAAGGAGAACCCTGGGTTTGTCAGGCAAGCCTGATTTTAGTGTAAATATGTGTTTTCCCGTTGTCTGGATGTTGGTATTAAATGCTTTATAATTTTTTTGATTGTAGAAGTAATGTATCTTCATTATATACAATTTATAATTTCAGAAAAGTTTAAAGTATCAAATTAGAATTATTCTGCAATCTAGAGATCACCATTGTAATTAATATTTTGTTGTATTTCCTTTCAGTCTTTTATTTCTACTTTTACATAATCAGAATCCTCATATATAGCTTTTATCCTGCACTTTCATTTAGCATGATTTTTTGACATTTTCCTATGTCATTTAAAATTATTTAAAGCATGATTTTTAAAGACAGTATTTCACTATAGGTATGTGCCAAATTTTATTAAATAAACTACTTTATAAAATTTAAGAAGTCAAGAGACATGGTATTTCTCTATATATTCAGGTTCTGTTTTATCTCATTAAAATCTTATAGTTTATTCATATATATTGTATTTGTTTTAGGTTAAGTATTTTTTTTTTTTTTTGACTTGGAGTTTCACTCTGTCGCCCAGGCTGGAGTGCAGTGGCACGCTCATGGCCACCCCAGCGTCAACCAGCTGGGCTCCAGTGATCCTTCCACCTTAGCCTTCCAAGTAGCCGGATCTACAGGCGCATGTTACCACACCTGGCCAAAGTTTGATTTATTGTAGAAACGAGGTCTCGCCAAGTTGTCCAGGCTGGTCTTGAACCTCTAGGCTCAGGCAATCCACTTGCCTCAGCCTCCCAAAGTGCTGGGATTACAGACTGAGTCACTGAGCCCAGCCAGGTTAAGTATTTTGTGGTGAATGTTTTTGCTGCTGTTGTGAGTGGAATTTTTTTCCTATTTTATTCTAATTGCTTAATACTAGTATTAGAATAGTTGTTGAGTTGTGGATATTTATTTTTTATCCAGCTACTTCACTAAAATTTATTTTTAATATATTTTGTTGTTTGTCTTGTTTTTCATTTTGATAGATAGCCGTAATCATCTATAAATAATAATTTTGTCTTCTTTTTTAGTAGCTACAACTGTTGTTGTACACTACACCAATGAGAATTTTGGGACGAGTGTTAAATAATAGTGATGATCCTTGTTAAGTTCCTGATTTTAGTGAGAATCCCTCAAGTGGTATTTCACAGTTATGGACATTATTCCCTATCGATTTGACAGGTTTTGGTTTAAAAAACAAAAATAAGAAACTGCATTTATTTCAAGTTAGTATGTTTTTAAAATCATGAATGTGTACTGAATTTTATCAAATGTCTTTTCAGTATTTATGAAAACAGTTATATTCTTCTTATTTGACCTGTTGGGGGACTGTATTGTACTGATTTCCTAAAATTAAGCCATTTCTTATGTATTCATTATTCAGTAAATGTTGAGTGACTTCTGACTGCTAGGTACTGTTGTAAGTACTGCAGAATCAGTAGAGAACAATACAGATAAAGTTACTGCTCTTGCTTTGGTTCTGCTTCTGTGCAATTTGATAATAATGTCATATATATGCCTATAATTTACTAATTCATTCTATAAAAATGAATATCTTTTATGTGTCAGGCACCATACTAGGCTCTAGAGCTATAACAGAAAACAATACAGCCATGGTACTTCAAGAATTTTAATGAAGGAAACAGACTTCAAACTGATTTGGTACAGATACCCATATAATTGCAGGTGTGTTTTTTCTTTTCTTTTTTGTTGTTGTTGTTGTTTTTGAGTTGCAGTCTCACTCCGTCACCCAGACTGGAGTGCAGTGGCACGCTCCCAGCCACCACAGCCTCAACCTGCTGGGCTCCGGCAATCCTTCTGCCTCAGCCTTCCAAGTAGCTGGAACTACAGGCACGCGCTACCACACCCGGCTAATGTTTGTTTGTTTTTTAGAGACAAGGTGTCACTCTGTTCCCCAGACTGGAGTGCAATGGCACAATCAACCTCGAGCTCTTGGGCTTCAGTGATTCTTCCTTTGGCCTCAGCCTCCTGAGTAGTTAAGATTATAGTCATGGGCCACCACACCCAGCTATAATTGCAGTTTTGATACTATCAAGGAGAAGTACAAAGAGAGTGAAAACTAAATTAAGCAGGGTAGTCAAGGAAGGCCTCTTTGAAGAAGTAACATAAATTATGACCCGATGGGCTAAGTAAGAGACAGGTGAAGGTGGGAGCAGAAAGAGCATTCCAAGTAAAGGGAACTGCAAGGTCCCAAGTTGGAAAGTTGCATGATACTTTCTTTGAAATGAAAGAAGGCCAGAGTGCCCGGGACAGGGATTGGGTACCAAGGTAAGACAGGCTAGGGCCAGATTTGGCAGCATCTTATAAACCATGGTATTGAATCTGGATTTGTAGATTTAAAAAATGGAAGAATATGAAGGATATTATGCTGTGGTATCATCACTTGCACAAAGGCAGGGAGACCAGCTAGGAGGCTGTTTCAGTAACATAAGCTAGAGAGTACTGTGGCAATAGAAATGGAGAGATTTACACAGATTTTGATAGGTGTTTTTGGAGGTAAAAATCAGCAGGAATTGGTTTGGGTATAGGGAATGAAAGGAAGAGAAGTGCCAAGGATGAATCCCAGGTTTTTGGCATGATTATGGATGATGGCACCATTTGCAGAAATAAGAACATTGCAGAAGGAATGAATTGCAGAACACTGCAGAAGGGATCATAAATTCCGTTTTAGCCATGTTTAGTCTGATATTTCTTTGAGACACTTGAGTGTAGATGATAAATTGGCAGTTGAATATATGCATCTGAAGTTCAGAAGAAAGGTCAGGGCCACTAGCACATAGATGATATTCAAAACCATGAGAGGCAATGTGCTTGCCTATAGAATTGTGTTATCCAACACAGTAGTCACTAGCAATATGTGCCTATTTAAATTAATTAGAAATAAAATTAGAAATTCAGTTTCTCAGTGGCAGTAGTTGCTTTTCAGGTGCTCATTAGCCACATGTTATTGGCTACCACATTGGAGATTATGGCTATAGAACATGCCCAAAGTCACAAAAAGTCCTATTGGACAATGCTGGTATAGAATGAGAAAAAGATTTAGGTTTGAACTTGCAAAACTCTACTTTTTTAAAGGTTAGACAGAGGAGGAGATATTTCAAAGGACACTCAAATTTAGTGACGAGAGAGAAAGAGAGAGAAACTAGATTATTATAGTATAGAAGCTTTTAGAAGAGATTATTTCAAGCAGTGATCAACTGTCGACTTTTGCTGATAGGTCTAATAAAATGACTGAAGAGTATCCATTGGCAATTTCAGATAGGTAGTGCGTATGGAAGTTATATTGAAGTGGATTAAGGCGAGAAATGGGAGGTAAGCAAATAGTGACTGTGTGTTTTTTAAAGAAGCATGACTGGGGAGGGTATATAGAGATGTATTGGAGTTGGCAGGAAATATGGGGTCCAGAAAAATTTTTGTTTTTGAGATGGGAAGGACTTAGAACATGATTTCATGTTGATGTGGATGAGCCAGTGAAAAGCAAAGGTTAAAGATAAGGGGTGTGTCTAGGAACTGATTTTGGTGTAAGATTCCTAAGAGGAGGATTGGAAGGGTTACAAAGTGAAGATGGCCTTGATAGAAGGGATCTTCTTCCTTGTATCAGAAGGGAAAGGAAATTAGTACAAATATAAGTAGGTTTCCATGTGATGGCTTCTTTTTTCTCTGAAGTATGAGGTGAAGCAGTTTTCTTGGAATGAGCTTGAGAAGAGAGGGCTCCAAAGTCAGAGGATAAATGAGAAGGTTTGAAATCATTGTTCCAGATAGTAGTAGGAGACTAGTTGACTATGGAAACTTAGATTGCTTCCTGTGATAGTTGAGGTTGGCAATCAAGAATTTTTGATAGCAATCTGTGTGTGTGTGTGTGTGTGTGTGTGTGTGTGTGACACACCCTCACCCTTTGGTTGCTCAGGTATAAGTATAAAGAAGGAATTAGCTGGATTTCTGAGAGTTGGAATTTAGCCAGATAGGTGCTGTGGAAGAACAGAGGTAAGGTACTAAGGTTTTTGCAACAAAGTGTAATGATGGCATCTGTTTGATAAAAAGGGAAGTGAAAGTAGGTGAGAACTGATGGATAGTGAAAAAGTAGAGGAGTCAATGGCCTGGAGGTTCCTGTGAGGTCGAAGAACAATTACAGTGGCTATAATGAGCAAGTAATTTGGAAGGAGTAACAGACCAGGGTGAATTAAAGGTTTATGAGGTGGTGGTGTTTCTATGATGAAAAAAATCCAGAGTATAACTGAGAGAATCCCAGTAGGAACTGAGGGAGTGATGGCTGAAGTGGAGGGGCAAGGTCACTGGATGAGAAAGTTGAAGGTGTCGACTAGGTTTTCTGTGTTAATTTTAAAGAGACTCAAAATAATGGCAGGAGTTTGAGTGGAGAGTAAGTCTTATGAGTCAGGTATTGAATCCTGGATTCTGAAGTTTCTGGGAGGCTAGTGGATGATTTATAAAGGAGGACAGGAAAGAAGATGGTATGGGCCAATGGGTGAGCCTCAGAGGAGAAGTGTTTTTTCCTGTGGGAGGAGAGAGAATAGTCTGGTGGTAGTGGTAGGACAGATAAGGAAATGATCCTAAACTACATCAGGTGTGAGAGAATATGAACAGCCTCCATTAAGAGGGCTGCAGGGAAAGTGCTCCTCCCAGGGACCAGTCAGTTTGCAGTTGACTCTGATTTTTAATCCAGATGCACTGAAGAATCACCTGGGGAGTATTTTGAAAACTCCAGTGCCTGGGCTTCACCTCCAGAGATTCTGTTTTAATTGACCAGAGGTAGAGCCCAGGTGTCAGTATTTTTTTTTAAACGCCTCTGGTCATTTTAATACATTCATAGTTGAAGACTATTAAGAGGTGCAGGGAATATTCAGATGAAGTTGAGGATATACAAGTGCTTGCGGATCACAGAGATCCAGAGGGTTCTGGAAGAAAGAAGAGTAGAAAGTTGAATCATGGAATAATTTGTTCTCTTTCCCAAGCAAGATGGTGAGAGAGCATCCAGTGTTATTTTGTAAGCAATTTCTGGAATCTTCTGGCCACTAAATAGGTCAGTTATATATATTTACTAAAATATAGCTTTCAAGAATTGTGAGAAAGAGAGAATATGTGTTCTTGTTTAAGTTTCTGTCAGATATAAGCTACTTTTTTTTTTACAACTTTTAATATAAATTATGTGGGAAAGGGAGGATTTGTAAGGCCCAAAAGGAGTTTTCCCTGTATCTTCAAGGCTGCTCCTAATTGACATTTTATTCATCCCCCCTCCTTTATTTTCCTCCTTACAGTGGCACTCTCACTAATTTTCTTATTTCTGGTTTACTTGGGTGTCTTCTTTCACATTTTTCTCCATTTTTACCTCTTTTATTCCTATCAATAATTTTATTTTCCTTTATTTAAAAAACTCATGAAGGTAGAAACAATAGGAAACAGGACAGAAAGAGAGCCAAAGGTTCAGAAGTAGATTTCCAACATAAGAAACTAGCATTTTCATTTCATTTTCTCTCTTTTTTTTTTTGTTATTTGCACGTGTGAAAGAGTCCAATCCAACAGTCATTTATTAAATGCCTTCTGTCTGTGAAGTCTGACATCATTGTCAGGAGTACAGTGACCAACCAGCCTGGTTTGCCTGGGACTTTTCCAGTCTTAGTGTTGAGAGTCCTGAGTCCTAGAAAACCCCTCAGTCCCAGACCACCCCAGGGCAGTTGGTTACCCTAGACTGTTGAAAGTACTGACTTACCTGTATATGCAGCCAGCTTCTTGCTTTTAAGGAGCTTATAGTTTCCAGGGGCATGAGAAAACAATATATGTAATAAATCAGAATAAGAATATAAACCAGTACATAGGTTTCCTGGATTACCATATCCAAACAGTTGATACAGATGGTAACATCAGAAAAGGGAAGACAGTATGTTATATACATAAGAAATTAAAGTCCTAGATAACTTTGCTTCTAATTCTGCTATTTTCTAATTGGCTATATGTGAACCAAACCACTCCTGGACATAGGTCATTATATTGCTTTTGTACATTTGTTCATGAAATACATTTTTCACATGAGGTATAGATGCTTCTTTTCAGAATATTTCAAAGCAATCCTGCTATTTTCTTTTTTAAATTTGTAAGTTTCGTTTAATCTGTACCTATGAACAAACCATCCTACTTCCTCTATTCCTTTCATGCTTCAGATACACTTACTATATGATCTGAATTTAAAATGGCAGGAATTTCCAGCTAAGGAATGGGAGGAGAATAATGGAGGAATTTATCTTTTGCTAGAATTTGAAGGTCCCTGAACTGACATCTGAGAAATCAGAATGTAGGGAACTATAATTTTAGCATGTATGATGTCTGACAATTAAGTTCACAAACTTGCCACCATGCACTTACGTTGGCAGCACTGTACAAACAACTCAGTAAGGTTTCATAACCTTGGTATATCAGTATCTTGCAGCTGTGTTTGTGTTGATGTGTGGCGGTGTCTTGCTGAGTGGCATTCATTATTGTTGTTGCATGTTTTTGTGTGCTGTCGTGAGAATGTCAGAGCTTGAATTAGAGCAATGAACAAACATTACATTTCTTGTTAAAATTGGCAAGAATGGAAGTAAAATCAGGGACATGTTAGTCCAAGTTTATAGGGATAATGCCATGAAGAAAATGGCAATGTACAAATGGATTAAATGTTTCTCTGAGAGGAGAGCGCGTCATCAAGGACTAGGTCAGGACAGCCAGTAATGAGCAGAACTGTTGAAAACATTGCAAAAATATGCATCAATATCATCAGCTGACTGTGAGAAGTATAGCAGACCAAATAAACATTGATAGAAAATCAGGAAAATCTTAACTGAAAATTTAGGCATGAGAAAGATGTGTATAAAATGGTCTCGAAGGAGTTCTTGCATCGCAACAATGTACCAGCTCACACAGCACTCTGTGAGGGAGTTTTTAGCCAGTAAAAAATAACTGTATTGGAACACCCTTCCTACTCATCTCATCTGGCCCCTAGTGACTTTTTTCTTTACCGAAAGATAAAGGAAATATTGAAAGTCAGATATTTTGATGACATTCAGGATGTCTAGAATAATACGATGACGGTTCTGATGGTCATTCCAGAAAAATTGTTCCAAAATTGCTTTGACGGGTAAATTAGGTGCTGGCATCAGTGATAGCTTCCCAAGGGGAGTACTTCGCAGGTGACCATAGTGATTTTCAGCAATGTGATATGTAGCATTTTTTCTACAATGAGTTCGTGAACTTAATTATCAGACCTTGTATCATATTCCTAGACTGGACTGCTCATTGACAAAGTTCATCAGGCCAAGAAGTACTTGGCTTCCCTTAGGGTTCCCTCTCCGTCACCCACTCTACCATCACCATAACGAATCCCTTGATCTCGTACAGGTGCTTTCTACATGAGAGGTCTGGAATATTTGTGATCTGGGCTTTCTATTAATCTGATAAGTTGAGAATATGATCCCAATAAAATATTGTATCCCATAGCTGTGTGTGTATGGATTTCACTTCTTTTTAGGTGGCTGCAAAATTCGGGTTCAGGGGGACTGGACCAGAGAACGCCGCTTTGAAATCCCTGATGAAGAACACTGTTTGAAGTTCCTCTCAGAGGTCCTTGCTGCTCAGGAGGGTAACTCAAGACTCAGCGATTTTCTTTCTACTGTTTCAGTGGGAGTGAAATTCTGACACACTGATACAGAGGAAAGTGGCCATTAGCAAAGTATCTCACCTTTTGAGGCCTGATAGCTGATTTTTTTTCCTTCAGGAATAAGTATAAGGATAGTTAAGGAACAAATCTACCCAGCTTTAAGGACATTGAGATGATTTCCAGAATCTTCAGTGTCATGGCAAGCAGAGTTTACCACAGACTTTAATTTTCCTTCTGTTGCCAGATGACCCTAGAGCTACCCTCATTTCCTTAGTTTCTTTCACTGTGTTCAAAAACAGTGTTGGCCTCTGCATTTAAGGAGTGTTGAAAGAATGGCTTTTGGTTATGGTAAATTCTACTCAATGAAGGGCTCCCAGTTTCTGACTGTGACCCTTATCTCTCTAGCTCAGTCACAACTTCTTGTTCCAGAGCAAAAGGACTCATCCAGCTGGTACCAGAAATTAGACACTAAGGACAAACCTTCCGTTTTTTCAGGTACTGAAAGGTTGCTGGTTCCCTGGTTGCTATGATCATTGCAGAGTCAGTAGTTATCAGGCCAGATATGATGATATGGATTAAAGTGAAAGTCAGACACATTCTCTGCTGTGGCGTGTTTTCTAAGCCCATGCCCACTAACCATTGTTTATTCCTAATCCTTTCTGTGGCCTGGTAGGCCTTCAGGAGCCAACTTAGCAGAGTGGTAAAAGGTACAAGCTTCAGAGCCAAATGGCCTGAGTTTGAATCCCAAGTCTAGGACTTATTAGTTCTACAACCTTCATCAAGTTTCTCAACTCTGAACTTCCATTTTCTTTTATGTAACAGGATTTTTTTTTTTTTTTTTGAGTTGGAGTCTCACTCCATCACCCGGGCTGAAGTGCAGTGGCATGCTCACTGCCACCCCAGCGTCCACCCACTGGGCTCTGGCGATCCTTCCGCCTCAGCCTTCCAAGTAGCTGGAACTACAGGCGTGCACTACCATGCCTGGCTAATTTTTTTTATTTTATTGTAGAGACGAGGTCTGACCGTGTTTCCCAAGCTGGTCTCAATCCCACGGGCTCAGGCAATCCTCTCACCTCGGTTTCCCAAAGTGCTGGGATTACAGGCTTGAGCCACCGCACCCAGCCTCATAGAACGATTTTTAACAGTTCCTGTCTTGTGGGTTTTTTGTGATGATTAAGTGATATAATGATATAATCCCTTACTGTCAACCAGGGGTTGTTCTAAGTCTCCAATAAATGTTAGGTGTTATTAGTCAGGATCCAGATTATTGTAAATATCTACTGTTCTAGTTACTAAAAAGAAGTTACTAATTATGTTAGCATATTGTGATCATACCCTTGTTGTACTTCAGGGATGGGTATGCTTCTTCAAACCCCAATCTAAGTAATTTCCACCCCACGGTACCTTTTTGTTTAGGAGCACCACTGATGAAATTGTGATCAAATCAAAGCCCTGTTAACCCTGGATATATTAGATGTTAGTTCTCCTCCACTTTGAATTTGGATTTTATGTCTTTCAGGGCTTCTTGGATTTGAGGACAATTTTTCATCTATGAATTTGGACAAGAAAATAAATTCACCAAATCAGCCTATGGGGACTCATCGGGAACCCCCACCCCCACCCCCTTCAGTGAATAGAATGTAAGTCCTATGTCAAAAAAAATATTTTTCCTGTAGGAGAATTATATTTTAGACAATTTTACTTTTGAATTCTTCCTTGATCTGCTAGGCTTCCACGTGAAAAAGAAGCTTCTAACAAGGAACCGCCCAAAGTGACCAACACCATGCGGAAGCTCTTTGTACCAAATACCCAATCTGTGCAGCGGGAGGGTCTCATCAAACATATCCTGGCAAAACGAGAGAAAGAATATGTCAACATTCAGACTTTCAGGTTAGTCCCTGTTCTACTTACTGAGTCTAAAAAGTTACTAGGTATAACAGACAATGGCCTTTGTGATATTTAAAATATTAGCTTAATTAAGAATCAAAGTATGATAAAAAGAAATGGTCATCTGAATTCAAGCCCCTGTCTCTACTCTAGTCAGTAATGTGCATATCCAAAATAATGCAGATGCTACAATTTCCTTGGATTTTCTAGCTACTATTAATACCATGTTCACTACTGTTTCTATCCAGGCTTAGAGAACCAAGTCAAACTCACATGTACTAAAGAATTGTTCTTTAGCATATTTTGTAAGCAGGTGTGTTATCTATCTGGTCTGCTGAGTTGTTTTTTCCCTAGCCAATATAGGAAAATTAAAGTCTATTACCACTAGCTCTTAACTTACTTAGCTTTGGTAAGTTAGCTAAAGAAAGTTTCATCCAGTCTTTTAATTGGGAGGTCTGTCTTGGATTCTTTTATCTGTATTATTTTTTATTTCACTTTTATTTGTTGACATCTTTTCTGGGCCTGATGTGTGTACTACATGGGGGTGTGATGCGGCATGGCATGTATCTCCAATGTACAAAGCAAAGACACTTTTCTTTGTTATTCATGAACAGAATGTACCCTTCTAGTCCAAGATTCCAGTCCCATCTGCTATCCCGTTATGCCTCATTTACTCTAATTCAATCACAACTGTATCCCTATGGAAAATCTTCCAGTTCCTCATATTTCCCACAATGCTTATATTTGTGTGTAAACAGTTAAGACAGTCATGAGTTTTCCCTTCTGCTTTCTCTGTTAATACTCTGCCTCATCAGAATTTCCTACACAGATGTCCTTGTAATCCTTTGGGAAGTGAGTTTTTGGATCCAACATATCCCCTTATAGAACGTTTATTCATATTAGACTAGCTTACAGCATGAAGACACCTCTTTCCCATCCATAAGCTCTCCTTTCAAGTATGAATTTGGATGGAGTTTAATGAAAGGAAACGTGGTAGAGCAATTACCTTTGCATTTTTATAACACAGACTTGGTTCTTTTCTGTAGTTCCACTTAATGTAAAATTTAGAGAAAATAAGCTCACTGTCGTGTTCTAGATACAAGAGGTTGTTCTTATGTGTGTGGCAAAACATTCTGAGGAATTATGTTAGCATATTGTGATCATACCCTTGTATAGAAGTGACAAGAGAGACTTTCTGTTGGTTCACATTTGATCTTTGTTTTCAAATTATTTTTTGGTATTATGTATTAGATTTTTTGTTGGGACTTGGAACGTGAATGGTCAGTCTCCAGATAGCGGGTTAGAACCTTGGCTGAACTGTGATCCGAATCCTCCAGATATCTACTGCATTGGGTAAAGAATACTTCTGGAATTTCATTTTGGCTGTATATTTACTTGATGTTTTGCCTTCCTTTATTTTTTAAAAACTACTTGGTAAAAACCCACTGTAGAATATGTGTGAGTTAACTTGTGGGTCAAATTTGTGAGATCAGAAAGTAACAGACACCTAAAATGCTGTAAGGAAACATGTAATTTTCTTAAAACCTATAGACAACGATATTCTTCATAGAAACTGAGGCTTGAGGTCAATTCTAACACTGACTATTCCTAGGATGTAAGAGCCAAGCTCTACTGTTATCCCTTGTGGGAGGTTTTTGGTTTATTTTTTTTGCATATCCTGTGAATATGCTGGTGGAGATTCTTTAGAAAAGGAAGCTACTTGTCCTTACTGATAACCTGGGTGAAAGGGCAGTTCTATAAAATGTATCTCTCTCCCATTCTTTTTGTCATTTCGTGTCTGAGCATATGGGACAGGAGGTAGTCAGAGATGATTGTGGGATATGTATAGATTTCACATCCTTTTTTTCTCTCAGATTTCAAGAGCTAGACTTAAGCACAGAAGCCTTTTTCTACTTTGAATCTGTGAAAGAACAAGAGTGGGCTATGGCTGTGGAGAGGGGTTTGCATTCCAAAGCTAAGTATAAGAAAGTAAGCCTCATTTAATTACCTTTTAAACTATATGACTAAATAGGGCTCCCCGGGAGTTATTCTGTTATCTATAACTTGTTCCAAAAGAATGGTTTAATTGAATTCTTTCCTGTGTGTAATACTGGGGAAAGGCAGACTAATCTTTCATCCTTATTTCCTAGAAAACATTTCCCTAAGCTTTCTTATCCTATTTTTTCATTGCTTAGATAGCTTTTAGGAGAAAAAAAGAATTTTATTGTTCTCATATCAATATTTAGCTCACAATAACTGCTTGTTTGTGCACAAAAAGTTTAAGATTGAAATTGTTCACTGACATAGTCAGAATTGAATGCTTTACAGAAAACGGTATGAAGCATGGGAATGCATAGGGTATACTTTGAAATCAGAGCAAGAATAGAAGTAGTATGGAATTTAAACAAGTTCTGAACTTGGTTTTAAGTTGAGAATAGAGTTGACTTTAGCATGATAGGCCAATTTGCTGGTCTTTAGAAGGCATGCAATAGAAGCATTTAGCTACCAGAAGGTTATTTAAATTACAGGTTTGTCATACTAAGGTCTCTAAAAGGACTGAGTAATTTTTCTGTAAATCTTCTAACAGTTTATATAGGTGATAGAACTACAGAAAATGTTATTCCTCTCATATAGGTCCCTGACTAATATATATATATCTCAGACATATTTCTAGTTGTAGTTCAAAATAATTGAAGTAGGCCAGGCATGGTGATTCAAGCCTATAATCCCAGCACTTTGGGAGGCCAAAGTGAGGGGGCTGCCTGAGCCCACGGGTTTGAGAACAGCCTGGGCAACTTGGTGAGACCTCATCTCTACAATATAGAAAATTAACTGGATATGGTAGTGCACACCTGTAGTTCCAGCTACTTGGAAGGCTGAGGCAGAAGGATTACCTAAGCCCAGCAGGTTGACGCTGGGGTTAGGGTTAGCATGCCACTGTACTCCAGCTTGGGCAACAGAGGGAGACTCCAACTCAAAAAAATAAAATAAAATAATTGAAGTAAAAAGTATTACTATTTTATAGATTTAAATTTTTTAGAAAATTGAAATCAGAAACTAGGAGGGCAAGGTGGAAGGAACAAGCTGCTTACTCCTGGTAGACTAAGAAGTGATTAAAAGAAGATCTAGAGCTGAGTGTACTCATTGTCCTTCAAGGCTTTTAAACGCTTACTGGTCAGAGCTGGATTAGAGCTTCCCCAGAGTATTTTGGTTTCCAGTGGGAAATTAGAGGATTTAGATTCAGATTTGAGCATCTCTGTGTCATCTTAATGGAAAATTGGTATTAACATTAACCTTTTATAATTCCTTGGAACTCAAAGGTTCAACTAGTCCGCCTTGTTGGGATGATGCTTCTCATATTTGCCAGAAAGGATCAGTGTCGATATATTCGTGATGTTGCTACAGAAACAGTTGGAACTGGAATCATGGGGAAAATGGTGAGTTAAGTTTTTGAAATGTGCTTGACTATTATTTATGTCTATGTGAAGTTTAGTTGCTAGTTGTGTTTACTAATCAGGAATAATTACTCTTGCTAACAGGGAAACAAAGGCGGGGTAGCTGTGAGATTTGTATTTCACAATACCACCTTTTGCATTGTCAATTCCCACCTGGCTGCCCATGTGGAAGACTTTGAGAGAAGAAATCAAGATTATAAGGACATCTGCGCAAGAATGAGTTTTATGGTCCCAAATCAGACTCTTCCTCAACTGAACATCATGAAACATGAGTGAGTGGTTAACTCTCCTGCAACGTTTGAATAGTGGCTACAGGAGAGTTTGAATAGTGCAGAGATTAAATGTGGTGAGAAATTGTAGAGCTGTGAAGAGTGAGAGATTACCAGTTAGGGATTGTAGTCACAAAGTAGAGAGGGTTTTTGAGGAATAGCAGATACATTGAGGCTGAGAAATTGAATTTGATATCAGAGGAAAGGTTAGTTGTATTAGTGGGGTATCTAGAATAATGCTGGTAGAGTCTGTCAGCTGGAGTCAATTTTTATTGTTTTGTGTTATAAAATAGAAATGCTCATTATAAATGTAATAAAAAGTAAAAACCCCTCATTTCTTATCCTCTTTTCTTCCCAGCCAGTTTCTTTCTCCAAAAGAAATAATCTTAACAGTTGGGTGTATATTCCTGTAGATCTGCGCTGTCCAGTATGACAGCAAGTAGCCTTATGTGGCCATTGGGCACCTGAAAGTGGCTAGTCCAAATTGAGATATGCTATATGCATAAACTGTGCTGAATTTCAAAGACTTAGTATGGAAAAAGTATAAAATAACTTGACTTTTTAAATGTTGAAATCACGATAATTTGGATATATGGGGTAAAATGAAATTTATTGGTAATTATTTTCACTTTTTGCTACTTTTTAAATGTAGTTACTAGAAAATTTTAGATTATACTGTGACATACATTATAATTCTGTTGAACAGCACTGTTCTAGACTTTTTTCTTATGCACGAACACATACTTGTTGTATAGGACTATATTACCCTATTTATTGTGGATCTCTTTCCAAGCCAGTATATATAAATCTGCATTATTCTTTTTAATGGCCATGCAGAGAAAGGTCAGTGAAGAATAGAACTTAATAAGAATAGAGGCAGAAATCACTTGAGGAATAGATTGGGTAGTAGTAGAAAATGATTAGTTATAAAAAAAATTAATACCGGTCATTGAAGTTCTGAGAGAGTGATTTGGAATAAGTGGTTTGAAATGGGGTTTACTAGGAACGCAAAAGATAATTTAGGGGTATTAGAATCAATAGAGAATAGGGAAGGGTGGTGTATTGAACTGTTTCCATATTGTCTCAACAATTAGGATCATGTGGAATTCAGTTTCATGGTAGTAAAATCAAGGCCTTGAAATTTATGGTCATGAAGTTGCCCTGAAATTTCATAAATTTATTTCCCCAGGATTCTATAAATTGCATGTTGCATTTGAGATTGGCAAAGTGACCCATTGGGGACTTGAGATAGCTCACAGAAAAATCCATTTTGATGTGGTGATTTCAGGGGCTCCCTGTAGAACCTCAGGGCTCTGAGAGGCAGAAAATGTTCCGATTCTGTTCCCTAGAGCCCTGGCAAGCAGCCAGGAACAATTTTGAAGCTAGTCCAGCAGATAAACTGCATGCTTCTCAGTCCATTAACTCCTTGGCTTCTGAATCCCAAACATATACTGTATTTCCTGTTTTTGCTCTTCATGTATATATAGAGTACCTATTCTTCCACTTGTTTTGTAATCCATTGTCTCTCAGGTGTTGATAGTACTTGCCCTCAAAGGGTTAGTTACAGCTTTAAACCCCTTGTCAGATAGTGATGAATGGACCCTTATCAATAATCTACCTGTTTTTCTTCTCTCCATCCTTCTCTGACTGATTTTTATGCTAATTACTGCTACTTCTGTTCATATATTTTGTGATCCTCAGTGTTGTCATTTGGTTGGGAGATTTGAATTATAGACTTTGCATGCCTGATGCCAATGAAGTGAAAGGTCTTATTAATAAGAATGACCTTCAGAGACTCCTGAAATTTGACCAGGTAAGTAAAGTTTCGTTTTATAGGAACTTTTGTAGATGGCAGATGAGATTGTTAGGGTTATGAGGTAGACACATAGAAGACGTGTCTTACTCTAGGAAAAGATGGAAAAGTCTTATTGTCATGTGACTAGTGATGCATTGACTACCTACAAGATTTGCAGTGCTTTTGTTAAGTGCTTGGATGAGAGAAGGGGAAATATCATTAATGATAAAAGTAAATATGTATTCAGTAAGTCTTCATCAAGAAGAGATTTCAAGTCAGACTTGATGGTTCGCGCCTTTAATCCCAGCACTTTGGGAGGCAGGGGCAAGAGGATTACCTGAGCCCAAGGGTTTGAGAGCAGCCTGGGCAACTTGGTGAGACTTCATCTCTACAATAAATCAAAAAATTACCCAGGCATGGTGGCACATGCCTGTGATTCCAGCTACTTTGAAGACTGAAGCAGAAGGATCACCTGAGCCCAGCGGGTTGTGACTGTGATTGCCAAGAGCGTGCCACTGCACTCCAGCCTGGGTAACAGAGTGAGGCTCTGATTCAAAAAACAACCAAAAAAAGTGAAACAAAAAAAAAGAAGAGATTTCAGAGATTTGTGTAAATGAGTTGGTGAATGGGTGGGGTTAATTGGAGAACACTTCCTGGAGGAAGTAGGCCTTCAGCTATGTTAATGTGGTTTGGCAGATGGAACAGGAAAAACTGTTCTATGATTACTTGGCAGACTGAGCAACAACTTGAAGGTAAAAGAGGGAGGCCCCATGAGGGAGATTGGGAAGCATAGAAAAGAAGTTTGTCTGGCATGAATCATAGGCTGTGGGCTAATGGAAACTTGTTGTTAAGTTGGGGCTAGCTGCTGTGTATAGCTGTTAATATTAAAACCTGCCGAAAAAGCACTGGTTTTGTAACATATCAAACCTGGAATTTAGGAAACTAATTTCCATATATTTGAGGCAGTGGAGTTGCCTCAGAACCTGGCATGTGACTTGAATTTTTACTTCACCATATGGATACTGGCTGCTAAAATTGAATGCTTCTTGTTGAGGGAAGAAAATGTTTTGACTTGATTCAAATGTCTTTAAACCCTTATGAGAGCCTTTTTGACCTTAAGACATAGTCTCAAAATTCAAGTGTTTTACAGTAGAATGGTTTTTGTAGTGAGTCTTTCTTGGCTGTCTACCTTCACATTGTGGCTGGCTAACTAATTTCTTCGCATTTCTTTCTCTATCCTGCCTCCAAAAGGGACAATTGGAATAAATTCTGAGTCTTATGTAACTCTGGTAAAATATTTAAGTGAGGATAACTTTCAAAGCCATTTGTAACAATTCACTAAATTTTATTTGTGGAATTACCCATTCACTATTTGTGTACTTTTTTTTTTTTTGAGTTGGAGTCTCACTCTGTCGCCCAGGCTGGAGTGCAGTGGCATACTCACAGCCACCCCAGCATTGACCTGCTGGCCTCCGGCAATCCTTCCGCCTCAGCCTTCCAAGTAGCCGTAACTACAGGCATATGCTACCATGCCCAGCTAATTTTTTATTTATTGTGGAAACGAGGTCTGGCCAAGTTGCTCCAGCTGGTCACGAACCCGCAGGCTCAGGCAATCCACTTGCCTCTGCCTCCCAAAGTGCTGGGATTACAGGTTGAGCCACCGAGCCCGGCCTGTGTGCTTCTTTAAAAAAAAAATTGGCCGGACTCAGTGACTCAGCCTGTAATCCCAGCACTTTGGGAGGCGGAGGCAAGAGGATTACCTGAGCCCGTGGGTTCAAGACCCACCTGGGCAACTTGGCGAGACCTCGTCTCTACAATAAATCAAAAACTAGCTGGGCATGGTAGTGTGTGCCTGTAGTTCTGGCTACTTGGAAGACTGAGGCGGAAGGATCATCGGAGCCCAGCCGGTTGAGGCAGTGGTGACTGGGAGCGTGCCACTGCACTCCAGTCTGGGCGGCAGAGTGAGATTCCAACTCAAAAAAGAAAAAAAAAATGTGCTCAATGGTTCCTGCCCAGCTCTAAGGGATTTGTGATTATTCAGATTTCATTTTTCCATTTTTCCCCTAGCCACTATTAGCAATAAAAAATAGTGATGTGCTAATAACAAGCATCCTATCTGAGGGTGAGTTTAGTTGCTATGGAAATGCCAGGATTTCACTCATAAAGTACAGAAACTTCATGTACTTTCTCGCAGTTGTAAAGGCTTTGGAGTTGGATACTTAGAAATGGGAACAGTGGCTAATCAACCTGGCTATCAGTTATACTAAGATGGTACTACCCTGCTCATGTGATGCTTCTTTCTACCTGTAGCTAAATATTCAGCGCACACAGAAAAAAGCTTTTGTCGACTTCAACGAAGGGGAGATCAAGTTCATCCCCACTTATAAGTATGACTCTAAAACAGACCGGTGGGATTCCAGGTAAAGTAATAAGAACCTTCTCATAGAATAGGTTAAGAATTCATCTTATTTTCATCCCTCCATATTGGTAAGGGGCTAGAGTTATTTAGGTTATGTCATAAGCAGATATAAAAACCTAATGACACAATGTTATTACAGGAGGGTTTTTCATGTATATTCAAACGTGAATCTATCTTAGGAAAGTTTTACTTAGGTGTCAGGACTGTTAAAGTTTTGTGGGCTGCCTGCAGTACCTTATTTCTGTCACCTCAGTAGACTTGCTTAGATTTTTGCCTTTCTGATTTCACCCCTGTTTCTCACCTATTGCCCTATTCTGGGTTTTCCCCCCCAAACTGCTTCTTAGCTGTTTAATTCAGGAAGGTGAAAACAAAGAGCCACGAAAGATTCTTCTAACACAGTGTTTCTTTCTCAATCTTGAGAACACATTAGAATCTCTTGGGGAGCTTTTAAAAATACTGAGCTTGGACCCCACATCTGCCACTGCTGGAGAGCACTCAGAACCACTGTCTACTAGACCCTTTGATTTCCTAATCGCCACAGTGAAGTACCCCTGTCACTAAGTTCTTGGTCACTATTTGTCCTCTACCTACTGTCTCTTTCTTTGTTTCTTATGGTTTCTTAGCTGACTGAGCACAGAAACTTGAAAGGGAATCCCAAGGCATACTTAGTTGCTTCAGATTCTGAGAACACTGGGTGGGAAGGAGTCTGTATTCCTATGCTCCGAGGGAGCTGGTCAGCAAATGAAAAGTGGTAGATAGATCTTGTATGCTTGGCCTTGTTTCTTCTACTCACTTGACTTGAGAGTCAATTGAAGAAGTTACTGATAAGAAATATTTGTGTCACCTTCTAGATCGGCTATACAAGCTATTGCTTATTTTAATAGAATGATGAATAGATTTTTTTCCCAACCCTTGATATTCTGGACTGTTATATGCTCAGACTTGCATGCTTAGGTATTAGTTCATCTCTATTAGAAAAAGCTGGACATGTCCATAATAGTCCAGGTTTAAAGGAGAAATCTCTATTATTATTCCTCTCCAGATATTAAACCTAGTCTAGGAATAGAAGATTGGAGTTTTAAACATGATTAGTTATCTATCTGCTGTGAAGTGTCATTGAAGGTCATAGAGCAAAGAAGTGTTTGGAATATAATCTTGACTTTCTGAGGATATTTTAAGAAGATACTATTATATTTTCCCCTATGGTGACACTGTTGAAGATATAATCCTAATCTTAGGAGAATTATTTTTTCATTCATTAGATAACTACTCATTGAGCACCTACTTTGCACCAGATACCATGCTAGATGCTAGGAGTTCAGTGGCAAGCAACCAGATACAGTCTCTTCACAGAGCTTGCAGTGTAGCAGGGAGAATGACAGGGATTATTAGTGGAGGAGAAGTACATGGTTCTCTGGGAGCATGTAACAAGAGGGCCTAACTCAGGGCTAAACCAGTGTAACAGGTATGATGTAAACCAATATAACAGGTATGGTGTTCTTGTGTAGTTTGTTCTCTTTATAACTCACTTCTTTATTTACAGTGGGAAATGTCGTGTTCCAGCCTGGTGTGACCGAATTCTTTGGAGAGGAACTAATGTCAATCAGCTTCATTACCGGAGTCACATGGAACTGAAAACCAGTGACCATAAGCCTGTTAGTGCCCTCTTCCATATTGGGGTAAACACTTTTTTTTTTCCATTTGTTTGTTTATATGTTAAGAATCTATTACTAGAGTATTATTTAGACTCAGAACAGAGCAGTAATTCAGTGAGCCATAAATATTCCATACCAAATAATCATTTGTAGCACTGAGCAGTTAGTGTCCTTAACCCTCCCAAATGCTGTCCATAAGCTCTTTCACACTCCATGCCTTTAGTGATACAGATGTTACTGATGCTACATAGTGGTTGAGTGGTGACCTGAGCTTTCTAAAGTCAGTGTCCATAAAGAAGAGTTAAGAGATAGGTTTTAAAAGGTGAGTAGCTTGTCATCAGACAGATAGTAAGAAAGGAGAGAGGTTTGGGGTGAAGGGGTGGGGACAGCAGGAGCAAAGTGACAGACTAATCAGAATACAACCAAATCTGCCTTAAGGGATATCGTGTCTTCCCTATTATAGTGAAGTCTGCCTGACCAGGAGCATAGGGTTTTTTTTAAAATTTTTTGTAGTAGCATAGGTTTTAATTTTTTCTTTAACTCTATTGCATCTCGGGCTGAATTATTGACCATTTATTTGATTTTTTTGTCTCTATTGTGAGTTAAATTTTTTTCCCATTGTATTTTTTAACCGTGTGTTATTAGAGTACAGGTTATATCTTATAATCTTGCTGATTTAATGTATTATGATCAGTACATTTAGGTCATTTCTTGTGGATTTTCTAGATCTGTAGTCATGTAGTGTGTCAGAATGTATATAGTGCAATGCTTAATAGGATGGACTTTGGAGCAGACATTTTGGATTTGCATCCCAGCTCAACCAATTTCTAGCTGCACAACCATGGACAACTTATAGCAGACTTGTGCCTCAGTCTCCTCTGTAAAATGTAGATAATAATGGAGCCTACTCGTGAAGTTTAATGAGTTCAGACACAGCGAAGAGCATAGTAGAATAGATTTCTTTCCTCTGTGTGTATGTTGATTGTTTTGGCTTCTGAGATAGGAGTCACTAACATGTCTTATCCTGCTCATGTTTTAAAGAAGAATAACTTTGGGACTTTTCATTTAAGACAAAATCAGGGCCAGGCTCAATGGCTCAGCCTGTAATCCCAGCACTTTGGGAGGCTGAGGTGAGTGGATTGCCTGAGCCCGCGAATTTGAGACCAGCCCAGACAATTTGGCGAGACCTCGTCTCTACAATAAATCAAAAATTAGCCAGGCATGGTAGGGTGCATCTCCAGTTCCGGCTACTTGGAAGACTGAAGTGGAAGGATTGCTGGAGCCCAGCAGGTCACCGGTGGGGTGGCCATGAGTATGCCACTGCACTCTAGCCTGGGCAACAGAGTAAGACTCCAACTCAAAAAAAAAA